AATATAATATAAATAAATAAAAAAGAAATTAAAATGAATAATATATATTAATTAAAATTTTCTTTAAATAATAATAAAACAAAAGGTAATAATAACAAAAACAAAAAAAAACACAAAAAACAAAAAAAAAACAATCATAATTAAACCTAACTTAGGGTGTCATTAGTAACACATAGGGGTGTCATTAGTCTCTTCCTTTTTTAATATTGTTATATTAATAATAATTCAAAAAAATCTAATTAATTTAATATATTTGTACGTCAAATAAAAGTTTTTGAACAAATATAATATATTTTTTAAAAGATAATATTTTTTGGTAAAAAAAGAACAAATCTTATTTTTTTTTCAAAAAACATTTTTTTTAAATAACATATATTTTAAAAAAAATATTAATGAGATAAGTTGTGTTCTACTAGTTTTATTGATACTGATATATTAATGAATAATTTAGAAAATTTTTAATTCATTTAATATATTTATTAAATAACACGTAAAAAATCTAAATATCAAAATTAAAAATACATTATTTAATAAGAACCAATAGATGCTATAATGAAAAAATTTTGAAAGTACAATGATGTAGTAAGAAAGTTACATCACTATAATACATGTGGACAGCCTACATGAACAATGAAGTGGCATGGAAACCCGATATAATGGGTAAATTTAAATCAAAATATTACTCAATGCTATAATGAGTAAATTTTTCAAAGTGAAATGTCCTAATAAAAATAGTTTGAAAGTAAATTGTTGTAATAAGAAAAACTGAAAGTACAATGCTATATTAAATTTTTTGTGAAAGTATAGATTGTTATTTTGTGCATTTTGCTCTTTATTATATTAAGCAAGACAATAATAAAAAACACAATTCGTATGTCGTGTGATAAATGACATTATAATATTTAGCCTGTAAGTGAACAGTGAATAAAATCATGTTATTCTTTTAAACCAGTATATAATAACGATACACTTTATGGATTTATCAGGCGAGCATTATGTGTACATTTTATTTAGTGAAATGAATCAACTGCATGTACTCAAATATGCTCATGTCCTATTATCTTATCATTTTGCTCAAGATTGAAAGAAAAAATACAGAGACAAACCTTCATATAGTAAATTTGCTTCTATGGTTATGTTGTTAGCAATCTGTTATTTTTGACATATACGTTATATTTATTGTTTTGGGTTGTTATTGCAACTGACATATTATTGTGGTCAGTATTTAGCTGAGTAACATATAAAAATACCGCGTGGTAATCACGTTGTTGATTTTCCTATGTTATCATTTGGATGAAAGGATGGTTTTTTATTCTCAAAAGCGATTCTGTACACAAACTACAACAACGAATTATTGGGTTTTTAGTAGATTAGTTTTCTCGAGGTATGCTCGATAAAGTGGACGTAGACCAAACTATTTTAATCATTGAAGCATCTTCGACAAATTTCTAAAATAGAGATTATAGCTTACTGTAAGTTATCATATGCCCACGACACGTATCACATTACAATACAGTTAAGGAGTATGTAAACCCATAGGGTTGCACACAAATATGTTTGCTTCCATTTGAAAGCAATCCAAAAGTCATGACTGACAGTTAAATAATTATTCCTGAAGAATAATTATAGAATACATGTTAAAACATAATTATGTTAATTACATGGTATTATCTATAAATAAGCATAATTATTTAAAGTTTTAGATAATTATATAATTATTTCCAGATAAATATCAAACATTATCTAAAGTTATAAGATGACTATGATACCAACATATATAAATAGGGTGTCAGACCAATTCAGTCGAAGGGAATTCAATTCTCTGAATCTGATTAATTAGTCAACATACACATATTTAGATTTAGGGTTTTTTTTGGGCTAGCAACCGTTGGAGAATCTACACGTGTTTGTGTGTGGATCAATTGTAGAGGAAACCGTGTTTGGTTTCTAAGTGCCACATCAGGTTTTTTCACTAGATCCTAAAAGGTACATTCCTAAACACCATATGGTGTGTTATAATTTAGTTAAATGTCTCATCGGATCCGACTTTGTGTTTTAATTTTTTTTTCTAAATTATTGTACCAAAATTTTATTTTCCGCTGCATTTATTGTTACAAGTTTCTTTTAAAACCCAACATTTACTTTTGTGCTTTAACAAATTTTCTAAAATTTTATCTAAAATAAAAAATGTAGGAACGAGGGAATAAACATATTTAAATTTGAATTAATTATTAAAAGAAGAAAATTGTTTGTTTCTATTAATGAAGTTGAATATATTATTATTTTATAGAAAGAAAATTAAAAGTTTATTGAAATAATAAATTTATAAAATATTTTAATTAATAATAAATTATTAAAAAATAAATAAACTCTAATTTTTTTTTAAAGATTTTAACTTTTATACTATTATTTTAAAGAAAATATAAATAATGTGTATAAAATACTCTTATAAATTAGTATATCACGTTGCAAATCTACTTTTCCTACATTTTTAGGGGTGTTTGGGATTGTTTGTTTGAAACAACTTATACTTTTCTATAAAAATACTTATTAATTTATTATAAATCAGAATGGTTAACTTTTTCAAAAACTTTTTATTACCGGGTTGGCACCAGTATAAATTGTTTATCCAAAAACTCAAAAATGTTTATTACCAATACAACACCGAAATTAATCAATAAATTGTTTTTATAAACAATCTCAAACACCCCTTTAATCTTCAATATAATTTGGATTTTACATCTTATGATTTGTTAATTTATTTTAAAATTATGTTTTGGTTTGATGAAATAGTTTTAAAGTATCTGATTTCATAGAATGATTTGAAGTATTTGCTTTGTAACATTTAAAATGTAATTGAATTTTATTCTTTATAAATAATTTATGAAATAAATTATAAAAATAATCAAGTTACTTTTAATTAATTAATTATTATAAAACAAATGTTTTTAACAAATTTTAAAACATTATTATATAGAAATCATATAAAACCCCGTGAAATACCAATCACTCTTGTGAGATTTCAAAATCTTATATTTGTGGGATTTCAATAAAATCTCGGGATTTGAAATCCCGGAATTCATTAAAATAAAACATGAGATTTAATTTCAAATCCCTCCAAATACAATCCAATCCTACAACAAACCGGACATATAAAACCAACAAAAATTGCAATAAGTTTTTAAAACCTGTTTACCTATATTTAAAATAAACGAGCATCATAGATACAAGAAACTGTTGTGTGATTTAGATAGCGGGCGTTCAAAGATGTAGCAAAGCTCATCAAATCACATTTTCTTTGTATTAACACAACATGAAGATGAACCTTATTGCACAATGAAAACGAGATTTGAAATTCGACTTCAGGCACCAGCCAAAGTCCCAAATATCCATGGGACACACCGTTTACATCTCCTAATAAGAGTTCCAAAAGCTGATATCATAATCTATATAGAAACTCATTAAGCAACCATTTACCAGTTAATTACTGGGTGTCACTTATCTTATCATATAAACATGAAATTACTGATAGTCTTATTCCGTAAAACGCAAAACAAGCATAAAAAATCTTACCCAATAAATGAGGAAGAAACCTCTTATTGCTAACAATATATTTTGATGAACAAAAATGTCATTCGATAGAATGAATGAGAATGATGACTATTATGTTAAATTCTTGTAGTAGAAAACTTCCAATTTATTTAGGGGTGTTTAGAATTGCTTATAAAAACAACTTATTGATTTATTTCGGTGTGATATCAGTAATAAATATTTTTGAATGTTTGGATAAATTAAAAATTTCTAACTTATAATAAATTGATAAGAACTTGTATAAAAAAACATAAGTTAATTTTAAACAAGCAATCTAAACATTCCCTTACTTTTTTGTTCTAAATGATTATGATTTTGATTCAACGATATCACACGTTCTATCACCTTGCGAATCTCTCAAAAAATGAAATGAACCCTAAACCCTAATTTGTAAACCCTAATTCCCAAATACAATTGGGGAAAAATTGTTTAATCGAGGGTTGAATATGACGCTAACCGGCAAAAACCTAATAGATACCAAAAAAGCAATGAATAGTGCGACTCACGACGGTGTACGCCCGTCACAATTACCAACAAATGGAGGAGCCGGTCACCGACGGCGATGATTACGCCCACCACCGTCAGATTGTCCTCGCCGACGTTGTAGCCCCTATTTCTCATTCCATTTCCAGTTCATCTTCAATCACCCCTATGTCCACCACCTCCTCAGCGTTCTCCCCTAGCGACGGTTCGGCCATTCAAAAGGTCCCGGGCTCCGACGGCCTTCGCTTCGATACGGTATACCTCTCAGGAACTCACGTACTTTGAATGACCTTGTTGGCAATGCATTTCAAGGAACTATTTTATCTACGAAATTACGTTTATTCTCAATAGATAGTTCAATTTTCGAGAATTAGTCAGGCCATGATACTCCTATAGGTGGGCTAATGGCGTAAATCAGTTGTGGGATAACTTCTGAGTTGCGAGATTTAGATTTATTTCTCAGAAAAGTTTTGGAACTAAAGTTTTGCCCGGCTGACATACAAATTCAAAGCTGAACTGCTCCTCTTCCTTTGGACCAAGGGAGTATTAGGTTTGATTGAGCTATGCTTGAAAAAAGAGGTCAATAAACATTTCTCTGATTTTAACTAGACATACATGGTCGGTTCGTTTGGTTCATCTGATTTGCTTCTATTTCCATCTCGTAGGCCCCAAAAACACATGGATACTTACGTAACAATATAGGACCTACACAATGGAAAGGAAAATGAAATGAAACGGTGGAAAATAAATACTAATGTCATTCCTTTTTTGGTGATATCAGCACCTTATAGTGAAGTTTCTTGACATTTTGGTGGCTTGCCGAATTGTCCAGGTGTGTGTGTATACTGCCATATAGCAAAGAGAAATTGTTAAGAAACTAAATATATGGTACTCACGTGTTTCTGGAACAATGTATTTCTACATGATGAGCTTTTTATGTCTCCTCAGGTTATACATGTTGGGAATGAGTTTACATCGTATATATTTGCAAATCTGAATGAACAACTTATCATAGGACTCAAATGATGCTAATTTATCTTATGTTTAATATATTAAAAAGTTGTTATTGTACTTTTTCATATAGTAATTAGGGAAGCAAAACCTTCTTCCCTTAGTTGTTTGCTTGTTTGATGGTTTTTGGGTGCACAATTAGCAACCCAGTAAAAAAACAAATATGTTCAACCCCCAAGAAGATACCGTGTATACCTTTATCTTTCCATGAATTTGTATTATGTTGACCCCCATGGTGTGTCAATATTTTATGGACTTCTCCATTTTAAAGTAAGATATAGAATAGATTGACTGCCTTTTGGTTTCCTGTTACTTACTTTCACAAGCTCAAAAAACTACATAATTGTTTATAAAGGTTCTATGTCTTTTTCAATCCTTGTTAGCAGGCTACAAGATTCTTGTTAAATTGTCATCATATGGTGTTGTACTAGGGCAAACATTTGGATAAACAAGAGAGATTATCACTTGAGACTTGACTGTAGCATCAATGCAAGGTCAAATTTATTTAGTTTATTTACCATTCATCTATCTGTAGCAAGACTATACTCTTTATGCCTTGCAACAGAACTGAAAGATGATCACATTGGGGGTGGTGATGGGTGAAGGGGGACTATTAAGGTCTATACCACTTTTTGCATATTATGAGGGTTGAACACCCCCTTCAAGGTTATTTCGGCTGGAGTGTTCTCATTTGCCCAAAAGGCATTTTGGTAGGTTCTGTAAACATCAAACTTCAACAACAATATATAGTGAATGGTTTCATTTTATTATATTTATTTTAAGAGCAACTTATCCTTACAAATAAAATGGGAAATACTATGACATCTGCATATGCTAATGCCAACGGTTATTGCAGGTGTCTCCAACAAATATGCAAGGCACCCCAAAGTTTACTCTGCCTAAAGATTGGTCTGTTGAAAAGGTACCTCGTAAGGGTGGAGGCACTACTGACAAGGTAATTTCAAATTGCTTCAGATCTGTTAATTCTTGTAGCAAAGATAATCAAAATCATAGATATGTCGTGTGAATCAATGGTTTACATTCTAGACACACCATGTGATAGATCAATTCTCCTTTACACTTAAACTACTTATACTTGGAATGGGATATTGTATCGACCAATGGCTCATCATGTTATCTCTAAAACCCAAGTAGAAGAAGGTTGTAAACTTGTAAAGATTTGTCACCGATAACCATGGTTGCTAAAACGATCGAGTTGTACGCCTCGAGGCGAGGGGGTGCCTCTGCTAGGTTGGTTGGGTCGTATGCCTCGAACTATTGAGGCAGGTCTGAGGCGGTAGAGGTGGTGCTGAGGCAGTACTAAGACTTTAGGGTTGGAAAATATGCCAAACCAAAGAAAATATACCTACCGATTGATGACCCATTAAAGTGAAAGTTCTGCCCCTTGCTTTGTCCTTGTGCATGGCCATTGAAGAAGAAAACTTATTGCTATGTGTGATTTTTTGTTTTTGTACAGTAAGACTACGTATTAGGGATTACGTTGCAGGAGTGACTTTTCTTCTTCTCTTGATATATGTGTCACTTTTATTGTCTCTTTATGTGGGAGGCTTTTAATGTTTCTCTTTAATAGCGAGACTTTTATTGTTCATATGATTTGTTTTTATTAAATAATAAAATCTCTAACAATTAATTACTTAAATTAAAGTATTTGAAGACTTTATTAGCAACATTATGATTCTAAATATTATTATCAGCTAAGTATTACATATATAATATTATTTTATTTATTTTCCTTTTCCTCCTCGAGACTTACGCCTCGGACTGCCTTGAGGCTTACGTCTTGCCTCGCGAAGGGAAACGCCTCGCCTCATGTTTCCGTACTTGAAAACCTTGCGATAGCCAAATAATATCACCTTTCAAGATTTCTACAAGTTATGATCAAAATTTCAATAATGAAAGAAAGCTAAAGAAACACTGTCTTGAGTTAACCTTTACCAGAAAGCACCGTGGATCTTTTTGTAATATCAAAGAGGAATTAGTCATTTGGTCATTTTAATAGTTTTGTCTAGTCCTGTTCTAGTCCTACCAAATGCAGAACAGACAATTAGTCATGTCCAACTCAGTACTGTCCAATTATGTCCTGCTCAGTCCCGTCCCATCTAGTCTGTGTACCAAACGCTACCATAGAATGAAATTCTTGGAGGTGAAGATGAAAATCATTTTGGGTAAAGTTATTATTAGGACCGACAATTGCACAAGCCTACTCATGGTAAATATGTCACTCAACCAAATGAGCAATCAACCACCGTGTCTAATTGATTTGCAACTTGCTTATCATGAGTAGCGTGTAGCTTGGTGTGTCAATGGGTCGGATCTTGATCCAAATCTTATCAAATTTGATTCATTTACATGGACCAATGAATCAGTAAAAGTGATTTAATGATCCAGTAAACGATCTAATAAATTGGGTCATTTAGACAGATAGTACTGGGATCAATCCATGATTCATCTTTGTAAAAAAACTGACTCCATTTAAATATTAAAAATAAAAGCTAAAAGAAAAAACTGGTAGGAAGCTGCCCTTATTTAACTATTGCATGAAAAACCCTTCTAAACCTTATGATTCATTCTCTAAATTGATTTTAGGATTAGCAATGGTCATTCAATCATTGATCTGGGATTTGTTGTGGAAGGAAAATTGTCATGATATGAGCATCCATGCTTCTAGAGTTTCTGGACTTGATAGTGATTGATTGCAATGACATAGCTATGCACCTTTGTTTTTTTTTCTTTCTTCTATTTCTGTTGTTAGTTTGAACTCTCTTTTCATATGCTAGAAAACAATGTTGCTTTGATTCTTGTAAGTTGTAACCATGAACCTTGTTATCAAGAATCTTTCCTGGCAATGATATTTGCCTCAAATTAAACTATGAAAGCCTTAAAGTTTGTATATATAAAAAACTTGTATGGTAGAATTGCATTGACACTTGCTTTAGAAATATACAAGTGTTTTATATTTTAGTTTGTGTTGTAAAATTATTTTATATGTTCGAAGTTTAAATATTATGTTTTAGTGACATTCATTGTACAAGTATGGACATATTTTTTGTATAGTGCAAGTCAATGTTTTAATTTCATAATCTTGTGAAAACTTGGAATGGGTCGGTCCATCTACTTGGTTTAGTTACATCATGGGTGAAATCATGATCCACTTGGTTGGATCATGGGTTAGATGACTAGATTAGATCATTAGTTTGCCCAATTATACTATTCTAATTCTCCATTGTTTCATCTATGGGCAAAATAAACAATGCTTATCCGGTCCCTCATAAACAAGGGCATATTGTTCTTCACGGGTAGTGAAATTAATAGTCTCACATCTCTCTAACCAAACGCCTCTCTGCTAATTCCTTGGGTCCATTCTCAACTATGGCACAATTATCCAAATTCTTTTAGAAGCGAATGCTATGGGATATTCCATTCTTATAGAGTCATGTATCCTGTTCTACAATGCATAGCCTAACTCAACAAGGCTGGTCGAAAATCAATGCATGTCAGTATGTGATGCAATTTTAGACCAAAGTGTTTCYAAGCCCACTACTTGGAAAGTCTACACTAGACGGCTCAAGGCCCATAAAGAGAATTAGTTAGTTTTTTGTTATAAAATAAGGTCGTGTGGGAGAAGGGAGGGGCATGCAGAGAAACAACCATTTTGTTAGGATCATAGCTATTGGCTGTGAGGAGGGAACTCTTTCCCTAGGACCGCTCTGTGGATTTGTATTTGTTCTCCTTTTCTTTCCTTTGTAACCATTTAGCCTTTCGTATTAATCAAAGTCAGACGTAATCACATCGATTGCGTATCTTTTCCCTAGGACCTGCCGGATTCTATGGAGACTCGTCTACATGGCCAATTGGAGAACCATGAGGAACGTATTCAACAATTGCAAACAGATGTTCAGGGAATTTAATGTCCCTGGAAACCATGAAGGAAGATCAGAGAGAACAGAAGGAATTTCGGGTATATATGCTGAATTTGGTGAAACTGCAACAGTGTAAACATCTGGAAACTGGAGGCTCTCAAATAGATTCTGATGGTTTTATTTCGGTTAACGTCAATTTGGAGAAATCGGGACAGAGTCTACACTATGCGGCGAAGAAGATCAAACTCCCAGAATTTTTTGGTTTCGATCCTTGTGGATGGATTGCTAAGGCAGAGTTGTATTTCGAGATTCATGATACTCCCAACAATTTACGAACTCGATTGGCTTAAATTTGTATGTCTGGAGTTGCTCAACACTGATTAACAGTGGTTAAGGAAATCCATGGAGATTACATGGGAAAAATTGACACAGGACACAGGAGCTGTTACAGAATTTTAGTGGACTGGAGATCCAGAATCCGTACGAGCAGTTGTCAACCATTAATTAGGTAGGTAAATTCGATCCATGATTACATAGATGATTTTGAATATTTGCTTTCCCTTGTTCTTCGCTTGCCCGAATCTCAAGCCCTAGGTTATTTTTTGGCGGGACTGCAACCGGAGGTGAGGCGATGAGTTAATCTCCATCGTCCTCAGAATCGACTGGAGGCTATGTATTTAGTGAAGGATGTTGAGGAGATGCTGCATCCATCAGAGAATTCGGCGTTGACATCTCGGTATCGATACCAGGGACACTCTTCTTTAAGCGATAAAAACCTGTCTGGGCTTCCTTTTGGTCAAGTGGGCCAAGGCGCACCTAAGGCCCATATGCCTGGAAGTGTTGGGTCTGATCGTAGACGATTCTTACGATCTGAAGCACGACCTGAAACTTCTAGGGCATCGTCAAACTCGACAGTGGTTGGTCCTTTGAAGAATGATTCCACACAAAATTCTTCTGCTCGTTATCGTGGCTCTCGTACAGTTGACTTCAATGGCGTGGGAGGATTGACGCAAGAAGGGGTTATGTTTTAAGTGCGGTTAACAAATTGGACCTGCACATAAGTGTCCAGAAGCAAATCTTCGAGTGATCTGTTAGCTGAGGATGAAGAATCAGAAACCGAGGGTGACCTTCGTACGATTGATCTGATGAAAGAGGAGGAAACGTGGGACAATAAGAAGGGTGAAATTGGTGAGTGCTCGGTCATCGAATTTATGAGTACAGGTGACATGTCCAGATTCAACATTAAATACTGTCAAATTGAACGGGTGGTTACATGGAATTCCGATTGTTATACTGGTGGACAGTGGTGCCACTCATAATTTTGTCTCCTCTCGCCTAGCAAATGCCTTGGATCTCTCGATTTCGTCTTTCTTCGGACTACATATCAAATTAGGCGATGGACACAAGGTTTTTGTGTCTCAAAAGTGTTATGGGGTGGCGATCACGGTGGGAACTTGTGAATTTGTTGTCGATGCGCTTTTATTCGAGATGGGAAATCTGGATATGGTTTTGGAAATTGAATGGCTGTGAACTTTGGGAGATGTCATTCACAATTGGGAGTCCCAATCGATGAAGTTTCGGCATCACAGTTAAGAGGTTTGTTTATAGGGGAGTTCTTCTTCGTCGTCATGTCACTATTCGTTACAAAGTTGGTTATTGAATACAAAGGCATTGTTAGATTCGCATGACGACTCAGCTGATCACACCCTTGGACTCTCGTTCATTGCCCCATCAACGATCACAACAATTACAACAATTGTTCGTTAATTTCGCTCCTGTTTTTAATGAGATTATGGGGTTACCTCCTACCCGTAGCAAAGATCATGCCATTAATCTCCTGCCAAGTCAAGGTCCTGTTTGTGTTCGACCTTGCCGTTATCCACACGCACACAAGACGAAGATTGAACGACTAGTTCAAGAGTTGTTGTCCTTGGGAGTTATTCGGTCAGTCGTTGCTTTTCTTTCTGTTACTTCGAAAGTAGCTGCTTCAGCTTCAGCCACTCAAATTTTCGATATTCTTTTTTATTTCTAAGCAACAATGCGTTTTTTAGTCCGGTGATTTTGGTCTGTTAAAAAAACCAAACATGGCGAATGTGTGTCGATTATAGAGCTTTAAACAAGGTCACGGTACCGGATAAATACCCGATTTATGTCGTAGATGAGTTAATTGATGAATTATCGGGCGAATTTTTTTTCACGAAGTTGGATTTGAAATCTGGTTACAACCAGATTAGAATGAAGCCAGAAAGCGTGGAGAAGACAACTTTTCGTACACATGATGGGCATTACAAGTACCTCGTAATGCCATTTGGCCTCACCAACGCTCCCTATTATGAAAGTTTATCGTGGTTTTTTTGATGATATTTTAATTTATAGCCCAACATGGGAACAACACCTCCGTGATCTAGTTGACACTTTGAAAGTACTCTTGACTCATCAGTTTGTGGTAAATAAGAAGTGTTCATTCGGTCAATCTTCGGTGGACTACCTTGGCCATACCATGAGTGGGAAGGGCGTTTCAATGGATCCCAAGAAAGTTCAAGCTGTGATCGATTGGTCTACCCCGAAACAAGTTAAGGGTGTACGGGGTTTTCTTGGACTTATGGGTTATTATCGTAAGTTCATTCGGAATTACGGATCTATTGCAAACTATTGACCGAGTTGACTAAGAAGGATAACTTTTATTGGAATGACTCAACTTAGCAGTCCTTCGATCTTCTGAAGACTGCCATTACCTCTGCTCCGGTGCTCGCTTTACCAAATTTCTCGATTTCGTTTGTGGTTGAATGTGATGCCTCGGGTCGAGGAATCAAAGCAGTTTTGATGCAACAAAATCGACCCATAGCATTTTTCAGTTTGGTGTTAAGTGATCGGAATCTTGCTAAGTCGGCATACGAAAGAGAAATTATGGCTTTGGCTCTGTCCGTCCAACATTGGTGAAGTTACTTGTTCGGTACGAATTTTGTAGTATATACGGATCATAAGAGTCTCAAACATCTCTTACATCAGCGTATTACTACTTCCGATAAGCAAAATTGAGTAGCCAAGCTTCTCGGATACCATTTCGATATTTGTGACAAAGTAGGAAAAGAAAATAAAGCTGCTGATTCCTTATCAGACGTGACGATGAAGGGGAAATGAAGGCTATGAGTTATCAACCTGTGTAGGTACAGGGTGCTCAACTTTTGGAAGAAGTCAAATTGGATATAAACATCCACAGTTAGTCGAAGACTGCCATCAAGATCGTAATTCTCATCCCGGATACACAGTTCACAAGGGTATTTTATACCATAAAGACAAATTAGTAATTTCACTCAATTCCAAGTGGATTCCAACATTGTTGCAAGAATTCCATACAACAGCTACGGTGGACATTCAGGATATTACAGAACATATCGTCGTCTAGCGGCGAAACTTTATTGGCTAGGCATGACCACTACAGTCCAACATTTTGTACAAGAGTGCGACATTTGTCAAAGGTGTAAATCGAGTTCGTTAACCCCAGCGGGTCTACTGCAGCCGTTGGAAATACCAGCAACTATATGGGAGCATTTATCAATGGATTTTATTGTGGGATTGCCTAAATCCAAGGGTTTTGACGCCGTATTAGTTGTGGTGGATCGACTATTTTAGTCATTTTATTCTTCTCAAACACCCGTACACGACCCGAAATATTGCGGATATCTTTGTTCGTGAGATTATTCGGCTTCACAGTATACCAAAATCCATTGTAAGTGACCGGGATCCTCTGTTTATGAGTCATTTTTGGCAGGAGATTTTCCGATTACAAGGAACCCAGTTGCACATGAGTTCCTCTTACCATCCCGAATCTGATGGACAAACGGAGGTTATAAATCATTGCTTGGAAGCATATTTGCGTTGTTTTGCTGTTGATCAACCCCGTTCATGGTCGTTATGGGTACCATGGGCTGAATTTTGTATAATTCATTGTTTCATGGATCAACCGTTGTTACTCCCTTTGAAATTGTTTATGGTTGCAAACCACCGAATGTGACACAATCCATTCCAGGAGAAGTCCGTGTAGAGGTGGTCGGACAGGAGTTAAAAGACAGGGATGAGGCGTTAAAACAATTGAAGACTCATTTACTACAAGCACAAACCCTCATGAAGACACAAGCTGATAAGTAAAGGCGTGATGTTTCGTTTGAAGTGGGTGAACAAGTTTATGTCAAGTTACATCCCTATCGACAGTTTTCGGTGGCTCAACGAATCAATCAAAAGCTGGCACCTCGTTATTATGGCCCGTTTATGATCTTGGAGAAGGTTGGTCTGGTCGCTTACCGTTTACAACTTCCACCTTCATTCAAGGTTCATCCAGTCTTCCATATTTCTCTTTTAAAGAAAGCTGTCCAAGGTGCTTCGGTGGAGCTTTCCTTGCCTGCAGAATTTGATTGGACGTTTCAGAAAAACTGTTTCCATAGGCCATTAGAGCTACTCGTTCTTACGTCCGTCAAGAAGAAACCGTGCTTCAGTGGCTCATTAAGTGGCAGGGTCACTCTTTGGAAGAGGCAACGTGGGAGGATGCGATTACTATTCAAAGTCAATTCCCTGATGCAGGTCTTGAGGACAAGACCAATTTTGGAGGAGGGCCAAGTGATGCAATTTTAGACCAAAGTGTTTCCAAGCCCACTACTTGGAAAGTCTACACTAGACGGCCCAAGGCCCATAAAGAGAATTAGTTAGTTTTTTGTTATAAAATAAGGTCGTGTGGGAGAAGGGAGGGGCATGCAGAGAAACAACCATTTTGTTAGGATCATAGCTATTGGCTGTGAGGAGGGAACTCTTTTCGTGGGACCCTCTGTGGATTTGTATTTCTTCTCCTTTTCTTTCCTTTGTAACCATTTAGCCTTTTGTATTAATCAAAGTCAGACGTAATCACATCGATTCCGTATCAGTATGGGAAACTGAAGAACTAATCCTGCCTCTCGCATTCACCTTAGTGATCACATTTTTCAATAATCCAACCTAATGGAACCAAGTCTATGGACTCGACTCTGGTTGACTAGGATGCTTTTTCATTGGTCCAACAGATCAATCACGGAAGGGTCATAATGTCCATGCTAGTGTCTTCTCATGAGCTGTGAATTCTACATATTTTTTTTCTGCAGGACTGTCATTTAACAGTGTCAACACTGAAGATTCTTCTAGCCTTCTTTAAAGTAGACCAAGAGGGCAATTGTTTACCTCTCCAGATAGTGTCCAACTCCCTTATCTCTTGTGGATGCTTCCACAACTGAAACTCAACCTTTTCCTTGCCCAATATCCAGAAACAAACTAACAACGAAATATCCTTTACACTCATCATGTTCATAGCTTTTTGGTGAGATAGTGGCTGGCAAACTAGTTGATCAATGTCACTTATTGGCTGCAAATGGGAGAGCAGTGGTAGATGTCTTACTCCCTGTGTCCCAAATTAAATGTCCACTATGAAAAGGGTACACAGTTTTACAAATGTGTAATTATTACACCTTTTAATTAACTAAATGACAAATTTACTCTTAATAATAGATAGTAATGAATATATCCATCTCATAATTAAGGGAAGAATTGGAAAGTACACTTATTTTGGGTCAAACTAAAATAGAATTGTGGACACTTGCTTTGGGATGGAGGGAGTAGCAGATTTGAAGGATTTTTTTTTCCCTGTACTGCCTATGAGTCGGCCTATGGTGAGCCATTATTACTGCTATAGTCCACAAATGGAACGTCCTTGCACATTTGCATGGTTTGGCGTTTGTACAAATGTTTCACCTTAAGTCTTTTCTATAAGGATTAGGCTTGGGTAAATGTGAATCTAAGGAACAACAATGCCTCCAGAATTGGTGAATGGTGCATGTTGAACCTTACAAATAGGTCATAGTTGTAGATGCACCAACTGCCATGTGACTTTTTTTTCAGTTTCAGTAGTTTCTCGTCTTTTTTCTTTCTCTATTCATCATCCTTTAAAAATAATAAAAGCCTGTTATGTAAACTCATACAAGAATTTCAAGTTGCATTTACAGTGAGAACTAGAAATTTATAAATATCATTCTGCAGTATTACCGTGATCCTGAAACTGGACGACAGTTTCGATCCCTTAAAGAGGTTGAGAGATACATCACTGAAGGAATTACACCTGCAAAATTTAAGGCGAAGAGGCTAAACTCTCATCATCATGAAAAGGTGAGGTCCGGAGCTTTTGAGACAGTCAAGAAGAGTTCAATTAATTTTCATTATTTCATTTTGCAGAATTTTCTCAAACTTGTCAACAAGAGTTCAATTAATTTTCATTATTTCATTTTGCAGAATTCAGACAGTCAAGATACAATTGTGGCCGGTGGAAAGGTAAGCTTTTGAGTTTTCAGTCATGCAACAACTAGTACCTAGTCATAAGTGATATAACCTGTAAATGTTGCATATCCTAAATCTTTTTTTATTTTGTTCCAACATTTAATGTTTGTATTTCTTAATTTTTCTTGTCAACAAGAGTTTTAATTATTTTTCATCATTTCCATTTTGCAGAATTCAGGCAGTCAAAATATGATTGTGGTCAGCGGAAAGGTAAGCTTTAAACTTTCAGTCATGCAACACTTATTAGCTAGTCGTAAGTGATATAACTTGTAAATATTGCATATCCTCACGCTTTTTAGTTTTGTTCCGACATTTAACAATGTTTCTATTTCTAATATTTCTTGAACAAATTGTTTTTGGTGATTGGAGACAAGGCGGTCCATCTATCTCATGCATGAAGAAAGTCCGACATTTAACTATCATTCATCCTTTCTTTCCAGTTTCCAAAATATATATACATCCTTCACAATCTTTTAGTTGACTATTAGCTTATTGGAATTTAATGATTGTCGAAAATTCTACTGAACACACACTTGATTGACCGAACATGCGAATAGATGCTCACGTCCATGCTAATGACATTGCAGAAGTTAGATTTGGAAGAGGATAAAGATAATCAATATCAGCTGGTTAATGTGTCTACCCCAATCATCTCGCCTACATCCTCCTTTAAACTCCCTGATGGTTGGGTTGTGGAGGAGGTACCTCGTAGATCTGGAGGCTATATTGACAAGGTAGCATTCTTTATCTGTAACTCATATGTTTTGATTGGTAAGCCAGCTTTGTTTTTTCTCCTCTCATTATGCCTTTTGTGCAGTGAAATTAATTTTCTCAAACCAAATGCTTTACATTTTAAATGTCAGCTAAAAAATATCTCTTGATTTAAATGTAACAGTATGTTCAGTCTCCACTGTGGTGGTGGTAGGGTTTATACTTTTAAAGTGACCTACCTATATACTGGCTTAAATTGGTACACCTTACTACCTTAGTGGGATCCTTTCGTAAGTGACCTGGTTGACTGTATCGGCTACTGAGTGAAGGGATGGCACTTTTTAAGTTCCTATGGTTCTACATATGATCACTGTATGTTTATTAGTCTTACACTTGGAGGCAAAAGGACAAAATGCAAATAAGTTTTCATTGTTTGTATATATCTGTGTTCTGGATTTGTGGGTTTCTGTTGCCATCGACAGTTGCATATATATGTCTAGATTCTTTTATTGTGTTTTCTGTTCTTTTCTATGTTATGCTGCTCCATTATTGGAAGTCTCTTCTGTTTATTTATATGGTAGTTAATAAGACATGAATGGATGATACAAAATCTGTAGAAGATACAATAAATTGATGCTTTTGACTCAACCCAAATGCCAATGAGAAGGCATCAGATAGCCTTTGGTTAAGAAAGTGACACGGAGTAGGAGGGGTTTTGCACTTTTGCTTAATATATAGATAAATTATAAGACACTTATGCCATACATTTATTGGGTTGGGAAGCCATCTCTGAATATAGAGTTCTTGCGTCAAGGACATCACTAATGCTGGATAGTGGATACCTATATCTGATTTTCTTTACTTGGAAAGTGGCTTATTTGACTACCAGCAAACATTTAGGCAAGTGACACAGTAACTTCCTTTTTGTACTAAAGGGAAAGCTACTACCTTGCAGCATCTCTTGTCTTCCGAGATCCTTCTTGTTGTTTGCATCTCTTATCATTATTTAGACTCCCAGAAAGTGCTTTAGTCTTTTGAATCGAAGGGGATTAAAAATCCGGAGGCATGAGGATGCCAGGCATGGCATAACCCAAGTATTTGCAAGAAATCTCTGTTGGACTAGGGCCAATCGTGGAATATTATAACTCTATTAAGGGCCTGCTTACTTGCATCTGTCTTCCTCCTACCCGGTTAAGAGGGTCTTACCGGAGTAAGAGATACTTGTTTACCAGGAAAAAAATAACCATGACCGGTGTTTGATGCCGACCGTTCATCTTACTGGAGAAAGAGATTGGAACCTTGCTGACTACTGTCAGCGGCTTTTTCCTGTATTACCCCTCCCTAGTCCCTATCCTCTCTCCAAAAACCCAACCCTTCCCCTCGACCCATCATTTTTCGTGACGACCATCGAGACACTTATCCTACAACTACTACCCCAGAAATAATCAAGAAAAACTGTTGGCCGGAAGCATTCCTCCTTCGAGGAAAAACTTCGGGAGGAACTACCAGACTGGCTGACGGCATGCCAATGTTTTGCTAATGATGGTCGCGCCAGGCATGGTGGTTCATCGATGAAGAATTATATAATCAAGGTGGATGGTGGTTGTGATTTGTGGCCAGACGATGAGAAGAAATAATGTAGAGAGACGGGGACGGTGGTGTTGAAGCCTGGAGCGCATTGTTCCTTTCCCATAATCTCGTGAACTGCAATTCCAAAGCCAGTACACTAATAAAGTATATTTAAATATATTTCATTTATTTTAATTATAAAATTTGAGTGCTTGAATAGTTGCATTACAATTGTTTTAAAAAATTATAATTTGTTATTATAATGAGTATCAATATAAATTCATAAGTGAAAAAGAAATAAAAGAAATGTATTTGAAATATTTTATAAACAACAATTTTTGATAAAAGGGTAATAGTCTATTTTTATTTACTTAGTGCTTAACATAAAACATTTAGTAAACAATAATTTTTTACTTGGCACTTGCCTCAGTCAGACCTCTTACCCATCAGTATTTATCCACAAATTTTAGTAAACAACCCCTAAATGCTACAAGCAGAAAATACCAAGTTGTGTTAGTAGAGGCAGAAGCTTACGCATGTACCTGCAACGAAATTAAAGAAAAAGACATAGTAATCCAGGCAGCTAAGGCATTAAATAAACCTGTCCTTTACTATCAGCTCACTAAGGGGCCGTTTACCTAATGCCAACCGGGTAAGTGCTTGCCGGGCTATTTATCTTACCGAAGAGCATGGCAAGGACTGAAAATCTTATCTGGTAAGAGGCATGGCAAGGACTGATAATCTTACCCGGTAAGTGAAGGTGGTGATTCTTGCCCTGTTAGCGCTTACCGGGTAAGAGACATTTACCAACAATCTTCCTATGCCATTTTGCTGGCCGAGAATCTTACGCAGTAGGGTAAGTGAGAGTGGTGACTCTTACCTGGCCCCTAAATTTTTATTGTCCATAGGAAGAGATCTCAACTCTGCAAATATCTTCAAACCTTTGTATCTCTTATGTTGGATGTAGAAGTTTCTCATGGCAGGAGCATGTGATGCATGCTGTTATATGCAAAAGGGAAGCATTGGAAACCAACTCAATCTAATCTACACAAGATAAGTGGGATTGTCTCCAGTGGAAACTTGATCTATGGTTACCACAATTTTTTTGATGAAGGGGACAGAATCCCAGGAAATTTTTTATTTCTACTGTAATTAGTTGTCTCTAGTGGAAACTTGATCTGTGGTCACTGCAATTAATTGTCTTCAGTGGGAACTGGATCTATGATTACTTTAGTTAACAGCTTGACTAGGATAAAATAGCGACTGATCTAAGAATAGTTACAACTGAAAGACAATTAAAAAGAAGTGCGAGGAGAATAAGGAAGGTGAATTGTATGGTAAAAGGATTACTTTTAGGTTCTGATTCCACCTTGATCCATAGAAAATCTCGGGTTCTCGACAATACATCTGTCTTTGTAAAAACCTTTTTGCCCACAACATCAAACGCAAAAGAAAACAAGATAAGTTAATTTAATCCTGGGTGTAACCTGTTTGTTCATAGACGTCCTGTCTTTAACACCTAAAGTCCTAAACGATTGTGCTCGCAGGTTGCTGGGGATGAAGTACCAGTTAAATCTGGAACTAAAATCAACGCAATAAAAGCCTGTAGTTTGGATGGATAAATATATAAATTGAACTCAAGTAATCAATACAATTAGAAGTTCTATAAAGCAAACAACTATTACAAAGAGACAAAAGAGAACTTTATGACCCTGGTTTCATGGCATCTAAAATCTGTTGTCTGGAATAAATATGCAAGCAAATTAAACCGAAGTAATTGTTACAGACTCACAGTCTCAAGTTCTGATAGCAAACATCTAACAAAGAAAGATAAACTTAATGACCTTTGTTCCATTGTCTCTGAAAGTGTGTCTAGCTCATCACGGGATTTTCCATTACCGTAGCTATAAGGAACGGAAAAGTAAGTGATGATGAAGAAGAAACTCTACATTGTGACTTGATTATGTGTGGGTCTTTTTCTCTTCTCACTACAGCTCCAATATGCGCTTCTTAGTCTTCATAAAAGAGAGCAGATGCTAAATTGATGAGATAATCTCTGATTGGACTTATTCTGGTACATATCCATATAATATGCTACAGGCCTCACGTGTCTAATCCAATAAAACACATCTTTCTTGTGTTGATTTTGCATGTTCTATTACCTTTTCAATTTTTTTTGGTATTTGGTCAGTTTCAGAAGGCAAGAATGTCTTTCTTTACATATGAATATAGGCTTAATTTTGTTAAATTCACCATCCGATCTGAGACGTTTTACCACATTTTGTGCAGTATTACTATGAGCCTGGGACTGGACAAAGGTTCCGATCGATGGTAGCAGTTCAGAAGCACCTAGAAGAGCTGGAAGAAAATTCACCATTGTCAGTTGTACTAGAAGGAATGAGAGAGAATATTTTGCCCCTTTCCAAGGCTTTCAAATTAAGCAATCGTATAAAGGTTGAGCTTATGGATCAACTTATGTTTGGCTGAAGTAGATCATTTCCAACAGATTCTCTATAATTTCTGCAAAATAGAGAAGCAAAAGTTAAAATAAATTTTTTTACATCCATCTCTGTTTTGGACATAAATTATATTCTTACAAATATTCATATCCCAAAAATCTTCAAGATCGACTTTATATGAAATGATAATACATTCGACTTCATTGATGGGAACATTAAAGAAACATCTCTCTCTCTCTTCAGCATTTAAATTTGGAAAGTTCTCCAAATTTGGAGATTTTTATCCTCTCTTTTCTACTTTTTGCATTTTGGGGAAAGTTTTGGAGGATCCCTTGCAACAAAAAGAATAGGTTAAAACTCCAACATCTTCATTTTCTGTTTTTGGAGAATCTGTTGGAGATGCTCTTATTGTTATTTGTACCATTGCTTACCACTGCTATCTTGTTCTTTGTTAGGACCATGGTTCTTACAATTCATGGAAAAAAAGCATATCTAGAAAGGAGAAGACCTCATCATTTGTCGATCCTCCAAGCAAAATCAATTGGGTTATTGCTGGTGCCGGAGGGGATGCATGGAATGCTTTTGAGGATGATACATTGGTTCCAGATTCTGTGAAGCAACAGTGGGGAAAGACATTTATGATGAGCATCAACAATAGCAAACATAATGCTCCAGTTTCTGGGTGACAAGGTATTTGAATCTGGTGCTTTTTACAGTTCACACACTGCCAATATCATGAACTATCAACATTGCAACTCCCTTGATATGATCTTGGCTTGTCTTTTATTTGCTCACTAGATTGGTGTCCACTTTGCAAAAACTTTTGTTCCAAATGGAAGTATTGTCGGATGCTATCAGATACTCGATTGTTCTCATAATTACATATCTTAACTAGTCTTTGCAAGTTTTTTTAGAACTGTGGCAATCCCATGGGACGCTGAAGCTAACAGCAAGGAAAACCTCCAGTGGCCCTGAGGGGACTCGAACTAGTGGGTGTCCCTTGTGCAGGGGCGGACCCACTATGGTGCTTATGGTAGCACGGGCCACACTTCCAGAAATTGAGGCCCAAAATGCATATAATTTTGCTATGGCTTCTCTTTTCTCAATCATAGTGTAAAAAATTAGGATTGTGAAAGGTGCCACCATATTATTTTGTTAGGTGCAAGCATATATTATTTGAAACTACAATGACACAAGTTTCTCTTTTTAGAGTTGGTTTGCACGGTTCTTTCTTCTTTTTCAGGCGCGGGTTTGAATCCCATTTGTATCATTTCTTAGTTTTTAGCCTTTAATTTCAGATTTGTTATGTTTTTGAAAAAAATTGGCATAAAGACTCGAACACAAGAACTCACATACAAAAAACAAGGAAACTAACAAATAGACCAATGATGATTTTGTAAAAACTGTCCCACCACTTGAAAAAATTTCTAGGTCTGCAGCCCTTATGGAGAAGTTGGATTTTTCTCCATGTTCATTTTCTTTGAAATGCTTTCAATCATCTTTCCTTTCAGAATCTCGTACAAAAAGCAATATTTGAATTATTAGGATTTTAGATGTTTGAAATGGAACTTCTGTATTCAAATATTGACTCTTTTCATGCATTTCAGGTTTGGTTCTCAAGCTGGGTCACTATATATCCTGTATGATCTTTTGAAATGGATTCTCATCTATTGAGAGGTAAATCTTGGAACTCTATTGATGCAAGTTCTCAAGTATAATTAGGTAATTATAGTACTATCTTGATTTAATTTGTCACATATTATAACTTAGGACTGGTATATGTGTGTGGTGTTGTTTTTCTTGTTTTGTGGTTCTGGTATGTCTTATAGACCCTTCTGTTGAGAGCAAATAGAATAGTTTTCTTAACATCATTGTCATTTGGTTTGTTATCATCATCTAAGGGGCCGTTTACTAACGCTTACCCGGTAAGTACTAACCGGGTAATTTTTCTCACCGGATGCACATGGCAAGGGCCAAGAATCTTACCCGGTAAGAGCGATGATAAGGATAGAGTCTTACCCGGTAAGGCAAGGGCCAAGAATCTTACCCGGTAAGAGCGATGATAAGGATAGAGAGTCTTACCCGGTAAGTGAGGGTGACGACTTTTACCCGGGTAAGCGCTTACCGGGTAAATTGTTGTATAGGATACGTTTTGATGTACTACAATCTTACCCAATAAAATAAATTATAGTGTTGACTCATAATGTTAAACATTTACCGGATAAGCATTTAGGTAAACGGCCCCTAAGATGATGAAGAAAAATCGTAAAAAGCCCATTTTGATTTCACCTTTTAATGAGAAAGCTCCTTAGTTTGGGACTTGAATGCCATCTTTATGAAAAACTAATTATTCTCTGTTCCATTGGCTATATTTTGCTGACTTTTGATTAAAAAATAGGTGGGATATTTTTGTTTTTAAAATTAGGTGGTTATTAACTACCTTTTTGATCACATCAGTTGGATCATCTTAATCTAACGGTTTGGATTAAGTTTTCTGGTTCTCCCTTGTGCGTGTATATACATATACATAGGGTTGGGTTCTGGTGAGATAAGAGTTTAGGCGATAACACTTTTAAACCGTTGGATGAGTTGATTTTTTGATCTAACGTCAAAAAAATCATGTATCTTCAATTGATTGCTGACCGAAAACACGACCTTCATCTACCTTAATCTTTATTTTTATCTTCGCTCACTCGCCTTCACGAATTTTCACATAAATAAATTTGTTAAAGTTTCAGTCATGTTGATAGAAATAGGTAATTGAACGTAGATGAAGAATTTTTTTTCATGTCCTCATTATAACTCTTTATCCTTTCACGATCCCAAGTCTCTCTCTCTCTCTCTCTCTCTCTCTCTCTATATATATATATATATATATATATATATAATTTGCCTTCACTGGGCTGAAGTCAAAACATGAGACTGATGCTAGTTTTGTATGTGTTGATAGGGTTGTATCTGCAATTGAGAGGGTGGAGTTTGGGGCCAATCTGGAGATGATGTTGTATTTGTAAAGTGGTGTTATAAGTAGTGAAATGTTTGTTTGTATGATCTTTTATGTGAACTTGATGGCTGAATTGGATTTAGATGCTATATGATAGTTAGCCTGGCTGTTTGACTTTCAAAGTCAAATCTGCATAGTAAACAGTAAACTTGGACCTATCTTTACTGTTTTTCCATTGTCAATTCTGGAAGGAGCATTGAGCAAGTGCATTTTTGGCTTCTCTTCATTTCAACTTTTCTAAGTTGGATTTTTTTTTCAGAGACAACCTTTTGTCTATTTGAGACACAGAAAATATCTGCCTACATCCTATCCCTCCAAACCATAATTTTGTATACTAAACACTTACTCGATAAGCGCTTACCGGTAAAATTCAACACTATCGTTTACTTATAGGGCAAGATTTTATTCACTAAAATGTATCGTATGCAACAATTTATCCCGGTAAGTGTTAACTATGGTAAGAGTTCTCGTCTTCACTTACTGGGTAAGACTTGAAATTATTGTCTTCGCTTTTATCGGGTAAGATTTTTGGTCCTTACATATTCATCCAGTAAGGTAATGTTATTTGGGGGTCGTTTACCTAAATGCTTACCCGGTAAGTGCTTACCCGATAGGATTCAAAATTATAATTTATTTTGATACGTAAGATTTTAGTATATCAAAACATATCGAATGTAACAAGTTACTGGGTAAGTGCTTACCTGGAGGAGAGTCACCATCCTTACTTACCGGGTAAGACTCTTTATCCTTGTCATTGCTCTTACCCGGTAAGATTCTTGACCCTTCTCATGTTCATCCGATGTGGAAATTTATCCGCTAAGCACTTACGAAGTAAGTGTTTAGTAAACGGCCCCTTGGTGTTCATTTACACGAGTAAGCTTTTGGTAAACGACCTCTAAATTGGGTTTGTTAGATAGAGAGAATATATGTGTACATCTCAAACCGCAAACAACCACACCATGAAATGCAGTGCGGTTGTAATTTCTTTTCCTCCAATTTTAATTATTTTTTATAGATTTTCAATTAATAAATGAGGGGGTATTTTAATTTATAAAAAGCGTTGTAAATACATCAGTTTAATCATCTTAATCTAACAATTTGGATAGATTCTTCCATTCTTTCTTTTTAAGGGCTACATTTGGATCTTCTAGAGAACCATAATCATACGAGTATCATAAATATTTGTGATAATCGTAAGGAATCTAATCCAATCATTTTATTTAATAAATAATTAATATTTAATTTACATGACAACTAAACATTTGAAACCATAAGGGTGGTGTCTGATTGGTTTGAGCTTGGCTCCAAAGGCCAAAAATGTCTGGAGGTCCCAAGTTCAAATCCAAGAAGGAACAAAAATCCTCTTATGGCCACGGAGGTTCAAATACGGTGACTCCGGGCTACTTGCAAAGCATGTGGTTGTCCTGAGATCATACAGCTCGTATAACGGGTTGGATATCAAGGTTAATTAAAAAAATCTGATATGATAATTAAACTGGTTATTTTCGAGAAATTTGAATAACCTCCATAAACGAAACTCTTTATCTTCTCTAATTTTGAACAACCAGAAACTCAAGCCATGTGGTTGATGAACCTTACCAGGACTTGACATGCCGCGAATCCTCTTGAAAGATAACTTTTCCCGGAGAAGAAGCAATGACGGTATCTGGGGAATAAGCAAAAATAGAATCAACTTCATTTTTAAATTTAAGGAGGTTGTTCAGACAATCTCCAAAAATTACAAAAAATATATATAAATAATTCAAACAATATTTGTTTTTTATTAATCTGGATATCCAATTCGTTAAGTGAGCCGACTAATCCTAGGATGACCATCTGTTTTGCAGATAGTCCGAAATCACCGTATTTGAACCTCCGTGGCCACAAGAGGATTTTATTTCTTCCTTGTATTTGAATCTGAGACCTTCTGATACTTTTAACCTTTAAAGTCAAACTCAAACCAAACAAGTATCATATTTGTGGTTTAATTCAAACAATATTTTAAACGACATAACAACATGTTATGTCTTCAAATATAACAACCAACTTATTTTTTATTCCACTTTTTTTAAAGTTTTCCTAAAATACATTGCAAATGTGATTTAATATGGAGTGGGCACCGTCATCAGACATGAAATGTATTGACCCGTAAACACGTCGCATGCTTTTTTTTTCCCCCATTTTTTTCCTTTTTTTTTTTAAAATAAAAACCATAATTCTTGTTTGTTTTTATATATATTTGAGAAGACATGATTTAATATAAATATTTAATTATTTAAAGAAAAGAATGAAATCTTTTTTTAATTAATAATCGAATAAATATTAATGATCTCGATAATATTAATGTAATAATTGTTATTATGTATTTTTCATGAAACATAACTTCTAAAAAGATATTGTTTTTCTTAGTGAAATCTTTGAAAGTGAGACCTGAACTTTGATAAGTCTAGAAATCGTCTTTGTGGTTTTCATTTTACTCTGAAAATGGTTCCTGATCACTAACTCCATTAATAATATCGTTAAATAAAGAGCATTTTTGTCTTTTTCACTTTTTGTCTTCTTCTTATTTTGTAATAAGCATTCAAAGCAACTCTCTAATTAAGTGTTAATACACACACACACACACACACGTGTGTTAACAAAAAAATTGTGTTAACTATGTCGACTTGTTAGACCACTTAAAATCATTCTGTAGTCATTGTTAGTTCACATGTTGGAGTTAATCATTAAGGGTAGATAGATGGGTAATATTTACATCTTTGAGTCTCTTCCTCTAACTTTGTTAAACTTAGAATGAGGGGTACTTCGGTCTTTTTAGGTTTTTTTGTTATTAAAAAAATTAAACAATTATATTTTAACAAATTGTAAAACCGAATATATATATAACCATTATAAATGTAAAGAAATACATGAAAACAAATATAAAACTCTCAAAATTCTCCGTTCCGATAGAAATGTATCGAAGAGAACTTGAGTGTTTTGTGAGACCTCTCACACAAGCTAAAAAGATAAACGGGTATTTATTTTATAATTCCTCCCACCATAGTACTTAGATGGTGGATCATCATGTTCTTGTTAGTATAAAATTAATAGTCACTAAAACACTATATTAATAGAAACCTTGTTAATGTATTTGTATCAACTAGAAATGGTATTATGAGAATGGAAATGGGTATATGTACATTAACTCTAATGATATGAAATGAGCATATATTAGAGAAATAAATGTGTCAAACTAGTGGATTATTTATGTCATTGAATCATATTTTGTCGCCAATAAAGAACTTTGGGACAATGATACATATATGTTTCAATATGACCATGTGGGATACCATGGTTATGACATAATGATCCATGTGTTGCAAAATACACATCGACATATTTTCTTTCAAGTGAAATGTAAAATGAGATAATTAACAAAATTGCAACTATCGACTTCTTCAGTACACGAAGCAACATGTCATCCTAATATGCTCTCTCGAATACCTACAACTTTTGTAAACCCTGATCTTTAGCCAAGACTGGAATGAGACCATCCTAACTATAAGGGTGGTGCTTGATTGGTTTGAGCTTGGATCCAAAGCTCAAAAGTACCAGGAGGTCCCATGTTCAAATCTAAGGAAGAATAAAAATCCTCTTGTGGTCACGGAGGTTCAAATGCGGGGACTCCGGGCTATCTGCAAAGCAGGTGGTCGCCCTGGGATTAGTCGGCTTGCATAGCGGGTTGGATGTCCAGGTTAATAAAAAAAATGAGACCATCCTAAAAGCTAAGAATATAATACAAAAATATTTCATTCTTACAATGAATACAAGGTGATATTTAAGAACATAAACGTCCAAAATGTGAGCCATTAAATTATTTTATGGTTCTGGTTGATGCATCAATACGATGGACGCATGTCGCACTATTGTCCACATGAAACGTCGCATTCGCAAAACTTCTAGCACAAATTATACGTTTGAAGGCTCACCACCTCGATTATCCTATCAAGTCTATACGACTTGATAATGCTGGAGAATTTACATCGCAAACATTTGATGATTATTGCATGTATATTGGGATCGATGTAGAGCATCACATACCCCATGTGCATACACAAAATGGTCTTGCATAAGCTACTATCAAAAGGATACAAATGTTAGCCAGGGCATTGGTTATGCGCACCAATTTACCACTTCTGCATGGAGTTATGCAATATTACATGCAACACTACTTATTCGCTTTAGACCCATTGCTAGCCAACCATTTTCTATGTACCAGTCGGTAACTGGATATGAGCTTGATATTTCACATTTACGTATATTTGGTTGAGCAGTATATGTGTCAATTGCGCCCCCACAACGTACTAAAATGGGCCCTCAAAGATGATTAAGTATATATATGTTGGATATGTATCCCTAACAATTATCCACTATTTAGAACCCTTGATGGGTGATCTATTTACCGCAAGATTTGCGGATTGTAACTTTCATGAGACAATCTTCCCGTCGTTAGGGGGAGATAGGAAAAAAGATTTTCCATGGGAATGACAGGAAGTGTCATAGTATATTCTCATTATGGTAGGGGTGACGATGGACGGTGGTTGTGGAGGAGGTGGAGTATGTTGTTGTTGTGGAAAAGGAGATGGAGGTGGAGGTGGTCGTCAGTGGTGGCGGCGGCCGAAGCTAGCGATGATGACCATTAAAACAAATATCATATTAAAGTTATATATTAAACTAAGGTAGATTAGTAATACTTTAAGTTTTTATCTCATTCTTGTCCATCTTGTTCCACCTATATTGGTGGAACAAAAAAGAACCTCTTTTGTCCCACCTTGTCCCAGTTCTTGTCTCTGTCTCATGTCACGCCAAACGTGGGATTCTGTCCCATGCTGCGCCAAACATGGGATAATGAGTTTTGTCCCGTCATGTCCTGTCCCATGTACCAAACGTAGCCTCAAGGCATGTTTATTCCACGTTCCATCGCTCATTAAGAAGGTTTCATCACATGTCTTTAACTGATCTCGGTTTGTTCAAAATCATGATTTGGGTTTTAATGGATTGTTTTCCATGGTCTTGATGATGATGATGATAATCACCCATCATAACCACTGTTTGAGGAAGATCGGATCAAGGAGGCATACTCACGATGGTCAAAAAACACGAGGATGGTGATCGTTGGTTATG